CTTTCACTCGTGAATATGCAAATTGCAATATCAATAAAAACGAAAACATACTCCTAAAAACCAAACAATTAAACATTAAAAATAAGATTAAATGGGACACAAAGGCACATTTACAATGATCTCATTTGAGATTATCATTGCTTGGACCCTTTAAGGCCTAAAACAGTTCGAAGAAGATTGGTGGTGGTGTATATTAACGGCATTTGAAAGTGTGGCTTTTGTGCGTTGGGTTCCAACGGTAGAGCTCTGCAGTGGTGATTTGTTATATCTACGTCCGGTTTGAAAATTAGGCTTGCTGAAAGGAATATGTTCCTACACCGATAGTCTATCTGCCGTGTAGATGAGCAGTTGAGCCCGAGTCACAGTTCAAGTGGCTGCTACCGGCAGTAAGGCTGTGTCCGAATGCTTTGGCTGGAAACTTCACGCATGTGGAAGCCGGAAGCTAGCGACTTCGTGGCTCTTCCGTAGTCGCATGGTGTTATATTAAGCCGTTCTAGAGCAATTCCGCACCATAAGCTTAAGGGTAGTGGCTGTTGCCACAAATAGGCCTAAGGGCATCTGGAGTTGCTTGTGTTTAATGCCAGTTCTACAGTTATTCTGACGTAGCCTAAATTGGTAGAAATCAATGATATTTTTAGACCTGACTTTATATTCTTTCCTTTATAAAAGCTACGTGTTCATCGGTTAAACGGTGTTCTTTTGTTCGAGTAAAAATAACCACCACCAGCGTGCAAGTGGTTTCGCTGAAATTTTCTGCAACTCTTTTCTTCTCTAAGATTGCCTTTGGTTGTAAAAATGAAGTAAAAATCGCAGCCATGTAGTTGGAGACTACAGGATGCATACGGCGAAGACAGGTGCTGAGTCAGGTATTACCGTCCACTTTTCCAAACACACCAATCAAAATCTAATTTGTCATCAACAGTTGCATACCTGGCACAGCTATAACCGCCGCAATATTATGGGCAGCCCTTGCATTTCAGACCTACAGCGGCGTGTCAATAGCTTATTTGCTCTTGCTGACCGCGGATGTCGAAGAAGGAGCAATTTTGAAGGACATTCTGACGGCGGACATGTCAAAATATTTATAGGGCTGCTATCAACGCGCAGTTGTCATATTGTGGCGGGCTTTTTCTCTTTTCTCTGACCACAGCTGGTTGAATAATATTCAGCTTTTACTTGGGCTTAGCAAAGTGTGAATCTACCCCCTGCTACCACTGCCCGTTGCGCAAGGCGAGCTGGTCCTGAAAACTCTGGAATGTCAGCCATAGTTGTAATCAGCGCAGTATGGTGGTGTTTGTTTCGCACGGATATGGATCACGATCAGTGATCCGTCGCTGGTTTTCAGAACTAAAACTCGCTTAATAGATGGTGAGAACCAGCGTTAGGATCACTGATCGAGATCCAGAATTTTTTTTAGATCCGTCAGGAAACAAACTAAGCCATGGAGAGAGTAGCGTCAACTGCAGACATTGGAACCAATCAATGGCTGTTCACCATGTGTGCAGCACAGCATGAAGCTATTGTGTGCTAAGTGTCCATGTGCACTGACGCATCGTCCACCATTTTTATTCCAACAATTGAGACACTCATGGCGCAACTCTCCACGTAAACAGCTCTGTTTGTAATGATTATCAAGCGCCCTCGCACGTGTACATGTACAAAAGGAAGTTTATGCACCTTAAAACATCCTGGAATTCAGACAAAATGCTGTGAGACTCAAAGATGGCTGAAGTGAAAAGGTTTGCCTTTTACATCTGAGGACGCGCGCGCCCTACATGGTACAGTGTAATCAGTTACGTACAGTACATGTAATTGGTTGGAAAATTGACAACTTCTCGTTTCATGAACTGCGCCAATGTCCATCCTTTCCTACCCGTGGGAAGGCCGTCAGGTGTGGATGATTTCCCCACTCCTGATTCGAGGCTGGGAGAACAGCGACATCAAGGCCTGTCACTTTTGTCAAAACAAATTTTGTGGAGAATCCGATGGCAACGTGTGTGGGCACACTAATATAAACATGTATATTTTCTTGGTTTCAGTGGTGAAGGCATCTGCTCGCCATAGCAACTATTAAAGCGATGGGATGAAATCTGCGGCAAACTTCTCCAGGATTGCCATCAAAACAGTCAAACATATCGTCTCATAGCCTTACTTTAACCAGCAACTCACAGCCCCCTTCAGTTTGTACATACGTAAAATGGCACTTTTGTTAATGGTTTGCTAATTAAGTAAAGAAGTGTTAAGTAAATGGGAAAATGATTTCACAAAAGCGTACACTGTTCAAGCCTTCGCTGTCATCTAAGAAAGTAAAGTTTTTATTTCGAATAGCTAGGCTCTGCTCTTTTGATGTCACAGTTATGTATTTCCTACAACTGGCTGCCAAAACTATGGTTGGCCATCAGAACAAAAATACAAGAATAATTCACAAAGTACTAAAAATCCCACGCAGCTATCAGAACACCAGATACCAACGCACGTTCACATGCAGATGAATACTGAATGAAACTACAATCCTATTTAAAATTGATGGGACAATAATGTCCATTTCGAATGAATTTGAGGTGAAATTGAAAATCAGCCAAAAGGTGATGTTTCTGCAAACTTGGCCGCCCATACAAGTTGTAGGCCAAATGAGAGTGCTCTATTGTTTTAGCTTTTTATTAGTTCAGTTTTGCACTCATTTCGTCAGTTAGGTGAGCATAATGTCATTCAGGAGTCCCTGGTACTTGGTAGGTTTCGGGGCATATTGTTTACCTCTCCTAAAGTTTATGGAGCAATTTTTGTGGCTGAGCGTCCTAAGATTCGTGACTTTCAGGACCTTCTGTTTGGATGTAAATGATATGGAAAGTGTAGTCAGCTGTTCGATTATCGAAACAGAGAGTCGACGTTCATGGTCGATTTTCGTTTATGCACGATCCAAAAGCATAATTATCGATACCGATCAGTCTTGGTTGGATATGGAACATTCAAGATCTCACGTCGTCTGCCATGCTTCCCCGGCGGTGTCCCACCTTCGCCGACCCCTGACAAATTGGCCAATTTGGATCATTACTACTGATCGACGGAGTCGCAAGGGGGAAGCTACCTGCTGAGTAAGCTGGATGAAGGGTCCGCATAAGACAGGGACACGGTGGGAGAACACAAGGGGGCCGATGGAGCCAATCCATGGGGGCCTGGGGATGTTTAGCCCTGTTCATGTTCCAGGCCTGACAAACATTATTACCAGACCGTCTCAGGCTGCGCCCAGCTCTGCTGTCATGTTCAAGCTCATAATGATTGTCAGCAGCCAAGATACCCCACCGCCGCTCGGTTAAAGACGTTATCACTCGACTTCTTCGTTTGCTTCTCGTTGCTAGTTTGCTCGTAGTTCTTCTATATACGGTTAGTTTCAAAGCGAGATTACACCAGCAAAAAAACAAAAACTGGAATGTGAGCTTATGTAAATTCGGAAATAGTCTTGGCCTCAGCTTCGCTTTCCTTCCGGGGTGTCAATTTCCATGTGCTTAGCCCTCTCTTCTATACCAATTCACTTCAGACATCTCAATGATGCCATTAAGTTCTGTTTACTTTTTCCTTCAAACTAGTTGCATTTTCACGGGGCGGAATTGGAGAAAACGTAATCTTTATAGAACAGGCAGTTTATTGGTACGTGCATTTGCTGCAAATTACCAAAGTGCATTTTACACATTAAGTTCATGTGATATTGTAGTTAAGATAAGTTAGTCTTTCAGTATTAAAAACTGTTTGGACTAAACCTACATCGGTTCGGATTGGATTTATTCGGTATTGCCTCACAGAAAAAAATACAGTAGCAAATAATTTAAAATACAAAATACTATGAACAAGAATTGCACAATGTACACGAAAATTAGGTAAACCAGGTATAGGCCATGAAAGTTTTGCAACTTATTTCCAATGGGAAATAATGGGGTTCACTTTCAAAGTAAAGAGGATTTTAAACTTAGCCAAAAAAATTAGTTGCCGAATTATAAACTGAGGAAGTGGAAGCTTTACTATGTTATAGTCTGTTACTGAAGTGAGCTGAACAAGAGGTAGACACACGACGGTTATCCACATTTGCCGATTAAAATTTTAAAACGCCAAAACTCAGAAAGAAGTAATCCTGTCCATTGAAACTATGAAAGGGTCGTTTTCAGACCGTGGCATCTGCCACCTTGCGGTGTGTAGGACCTGTATATTTACGACACACCACTTTGTTGCAAGTCGACAAGCAGAATGGCGGGCTGTCGAAGCCCTGTCGCTTGGAGCTCAATGGATCGCGTCTAAATCACCCTCGGTTCTGGCGGGAAGAAAGCCCTGGCAGGGTGGTCAGATAATGGGTTGGCGGCTGAATAGCGCGTGGGGCTATTCAACTATTGTCTTCCAATGGACTTGAGGGTTGTTGGGGGACAATCCTAATGAATGTTCAGGGACGGGTGAGTAGGCTCTGTTGTCTGACAAGGTGTCTGTTCGGGCGCACTCTACACCATTAGAACCACATCGCGACCTGTTATTAGTGAGAGGGCGTGTGGAGTTTGATCTCGCGTCCTTCTAGAAAGGCTAATATTGTTAGGATAGGAAATTCCTGCAGGATCTGGGTTTGTTTTCAACCGGCAGGGACGAATATAGAAGATCGTTCTAAAGAAGTTATTATGTTTTGTGCTGATGTTTTCCATACATGATTGATTAAAATTCCCAAACTTGTCATTGTCCCATGGAATACAACTCGGTTTCTGCTCCGTTTCGTTAAGGCTTTTTACACATCAATGCAGGAGCTTCTCAGAAAAGCTGATTGAAACCTGTGCGTTAGTATACAGGAAATAGTTCAAAGAATGAAAGATCGCCAGGCTCAAGCGTTTGTGACTCCACAAAGTGAAGTAGGCGCTTTGAGAGGGCTTGCCGGAATTACGATTGTTTTCTCAAAGCCGACTTTGAACTTTTAGGCTGGTTTCCTATCCTATTGAGGCTTTTCCCTTCTCTTTCCCCATCGTCAATCCCGACTAGTCGCAGTGTCAGCTGCTACTGTCTACTTTGCAGAGGGGCTTACCGAAAAACAACACACTACTTTGGCCCTCGGTGACGTGTGTAGTCCCACCATCAATTTGCCAAACGAGGGTTCAGGGGCCCGTCAGCTGGTCGGAGCATGCGCATGTCGTAGGTGAGCTAGGGTTTACCCCCGGTACAAACCTGCCTAACTGGCACTTTCACTGTGGGTAACGCTTGCAACGTGACGCGTCGCACAAATCCTAAAAATCGTTACTAAACTGACTGCGAAAAGAACATTGTATAGATGTAGAATCATCTGACCATGGAGCTATTAAAATTTTCTTGAGTAGTAGTGAAGAGAGTATGTACAGTTAATGATAAAGCCAACAATGAACCAAATTCTGAAGGATAGATGTGTATCCCCAATCCATCCATTTTCCCAGCGCCAGCGTGGTTCTTCAGGGAGATGGATGATGTAGATAACGCGTACCGTAAGAACTGCCTGGCGACCCCACAAGACGTTTGCTTGTGACTGGCATCTTCGTCATTTCCGAGGAGAGCTAAGTACCTGTAATGCCAGTTGAACGATAAGTGGAATACCGGAAATGTAACTTCTATTGTTTACTGTCAGACGATTCGTGGATTTTTACCTGGATTCATTATTGCGGCATCTGACCAGCGATGACTTGGGCGCGGGGTCTTGGAGTACTTTCTACTAGTAACCGGGACAGCCGGTCGCCCATCGTTAAACTTGAGAAGGGGGTAGCATGGGACAGCCAAGACAAGGTAACATAGTCAAATTCTTAGATTCTGTGGAATTTTACATTGACATTATTGAGTCTGATATCATCATTTGAGGCTTAACTCCGGTGTGATTAGGTGGTCTTGAATTGTACGTTCTTTGAGTTTGACGTTTGATCTCGTTGCCACGGAATGAGTTGTTTTTGTGCGATCGATCTGATAAAAAATACTCTTGCAGTTACAGAAAACTTGTGTTGTTTATTAATTTAATGAGCGCTACAAATCAACGAACAAACATATGCAAAGATTTATTTTTACTCACGCAGTCAATCATTGTTAAGACAAAAAGGCGTTAAAAGACTCCCCCCCCAAAAAAAATCCTAGCAAGTTAACAGACACCTTCAATTCAGGATACAATTACTGATTTGTGCCGACAGGTTTCTTAAGCATGGCTTAATACTATTATTTTGTCTGAAAGTCCGGGATATTATGAAACCCAGTCTGCACTTTAATTTTCCTGGGCGTCACGAGCGAAGCCAACCGCCCAACTGTAGACCACACGCACGCTGATGTCAGTGATGATGTCTATCGCCCGAGAACAACTTTGACTTGGAGGTGTCATTCATCTTCTCGTTTGGGTCATTCACTCAAATTAATACATGGTTCAAAAGTCCTCCTGCAAATAGCAAACTACATGAAATACTGGCCTTCTTGGATGAGCTGCAAAACTGATGTCTTTCTGCAGTAATATCTTTGACGCTTATTATTTGGCAACTCAAAGTGCATACCTCTGATGAAAGCTGTGTATTTCTATGAACAGTTATCTGATGGAAAGATCTAAGGATACACCTTAAAATCTCACTTCATTCGGAATCAGAATATACGTGGCCTCTAATGAGTTCATGCACGGGACTCAGTTCGTACTTTGAATGTGCTGAGTGGATTTTTGCACCTCAAATGCTAAAACTTGACAAAATCAATGCTTATTGACGGTCGGACTTTCCACTTTCTGTTTTTTTTTCAGAGTTTCGGAAAAGCCTTCAGCGTTATTAGACAGCCGTACGGTAGTAAATTATAGTTGGTGTAATTTAGATACTCAATATAAATGTAAACTGAAGATGTGGATAGCTCTTATTTGGTTACTTATACCAGATAAGACGGATTGACAAGGGTTCAGTCATGAACTCGCAAATTTGTCTGGCAATAGCTGAATATCTCTCATGACAATAATAATGAATAATCTCATGACAATTCCGTTGCTATCCCTAACCGGCCGACGAAAGCAGTCTCAAAATCGTCGAATTGTCGCTTCGCATGAAAGGAAGTTCATTGTGCAGAACATTCTCATGTCCTGCGAAATAAAATGATTCCACCCTTTGTTACTCTAGAAATTCCAGACTCTAGAATTTCAGTTGTCTACATCGAATCCTTTACACTCTAGCCAGATTGGCCTGATAATAAAACAACCAATCCTACACCGTAAGATCCTGGCATAATAAATGACAAAGTGAATGGACGGAAATTCAACAAGGGCTCTTTCTAACTCTGTAGAACTTAGTGGTTTTTGTAGTTGTAGTCGCCCTCTGTACGGGTGCTTTTCTTTTGATATGCCTTACTTGAGACTCAATTCAAGTCTCATCTATGGCACACTTAGGATTTCCCATAATCCTATGAGCCTTCTTAATCCCCATCTGTGAATTGAATGGCGTCCAGGATGAACTTGAATATCAGTCCGTGAAGCTGGGCATAAGAGTTTGTTGTTCACAAGGTGTGTTGCTATCGAATAATCAGGTAAACAATCCATGTGCGCGGTTCTCCTTTTCTGAGAACAGCAGACCACCCAGTTAGCTTTTCTTTCCTTCCTCCATGGTGAGATTGTTTAGGAACTACCATGTGCATGTAGAGTGTGGGCCTGCGTGTACAAAAGAGCTGTTTCTTGTTCTGCGATGTCTTTAAAGTTGGTTTTGGGTGCACCGGAAGTGAAATGCGTCCTAATAGCAACCCAGTCCGCTTGCGAGCTGAGTAATATTTAACCTATGATCTGGTGAGTCTACATACTGTCAGACCCACAGTCATGTGACTCGGTTCTAGCTATGAAGAACTGATGCATTTGAAACTTCAATCATGTCTGTTTCTACCTCCATGGTTTCACTGAACAATGACATTTATATGCAGTTCTACAATTTCAGTACGCAGTCGGTGAAACGGGAATAAAAGACCTGCAACTAAGCAACCGTTTTACCACTTTTAAGCCTGCAACTAAGCAACCGCTTTATCACTTTTATGCGCACTGCAATGCACAATGTGGTTCATGGGAAATTGCGTAACATACAGTGGGCACTCTTGAAAATTTATGACGCTCGAGACTGAGCAGAAATCGGTAAGGGGCTCCAACTGATCTGGGTGCAGACCACTAATTCATGTGAGAATTTCTGACCAGCTCATTAGCATTAAAAGTGCCCCCTTCC